GGGGCCATTCCCACATGCAGCTTTGATGTGTGTGCCCAGAGCATGATTGACGGGGAAGTTTTAGTGGCGGCAGTAGGGAAATGAAGAGCTAAGGGCTGGGCTTTGAACTAAAGGACTTTGAGCTGGGAGATGCTGTGTTTAGTTATCTCCTTCAGAATATTAATTATTTGCCTCGGTAATTGGGCAGGAGGAAGAGGTTATTAAAAAATTCCAACACTTACTCCCTATGAGAACCTTATTTTCCAGATTACATCTGGCATGAAAGGAACAACCTAGAAGGCCATGTGCTGGGGGATGGGCACTAGGGAAGTCCATGCTTACCCCTTACAGGGCTGGAATCCTTTGTCCCACCCCTCCAGATGGGACCCCCTTCCTTCAGGTTTTAAGAGTCATGCTTGGGGCTGAAATAGTAAGCAGAAGATGGGAAAGATACACCCTCAGCACAGAAGACAAATACTGGGGAATACCACAGATTTGGAGTAAAGGGGGTAGTCAAAGTTATTCTGGCAGTTAGGAGAGTACCTTTCTTCCCTCCCGTCCTACTCAAGGCCATTCATTTTTCTGTTGTGAATCCCGTGGCATTCCATAGGAAAACAGTGGCTTCCTGTCTTCCTTGCCCCCACTCTCATCTGGTTTTTCTGACTTCTCTACCCCTCTCTCCAGGCTAACCTCTTTCCTGCTGCCCTTGTTCATTTTGGGTCTGAAGAACCAACAGGTGAGTAAGAAGCCTTTGGCTGTGCTGAGCTAACAGACAAAAGAACTCTAGCAACCCTGAACCCTCCACCCCTGTCTTGCCTCAAAGTTATTAAAAGATCCTTGAGGAGGAGAGTCTGGGAACAAAATTTCTTAAGGGGAGTGGGGGCTTCAGCACAAATTGGCAGGACCCAAGAGCTACTGTGCACCCTTCAATTAGGTCATAGGAGACAGGCTCCAGCATGTCCCACCTTTCTGGGGTTGTGATCCCCCACAGTGCAGGGAATAGGACATCACCATTGGTCACACTGTCCTTAAGGATAACCAGGGGAGCTATGGGAGAAAGTTGTCCGGAGCTAAAGGCTGGGGACAGCTCTGGGTCTCACTCAGCTCCTTCAGTTCACCTGAGGGTAGGACTCGGGGTTTTGCACAGATTTCTACTTGGAGCCCCAGCTGCTGGAGAACACCATCTCTCCGTCTACTGCTGATGTGCTGGTGGCCAGGTGAGTCTTGGGAATTGGAGAGGGGGGCTTGAGGGTTCAGGAACCAAACAGGTCCTATTTGAGGGGTAGGGAAACACTGGCCCTTGAGCTTAAGGCCTACCCACACCCTTTTTTTTTGGTTGTCTGCTCAGGTGTATGTCCAGGGCCTCAGCGACGCCAACTGTTTTGCCAACCCTTGAGCCTGAGCTTTCTGAACAGGAGGAATCAGCTGAAGTGGCAGTAGAACCCCCAGAACCAGTTGCAGGAACTGCTCAGCCTGTGAGGAGGAATCTAGGCAAAGTGCCCAAGTGGCTAAAACTCCCAGGTACTCTGTGTGGGAGTTGGATCTCACAAGGAGGGAGGATGACTTGGGGCTAAGGATTACCACTAATTCTTTGCCCCTTTGTATTACAGCTGGAAAGAGGTGAGAGCCCATCATGAAAGGAGGGGACTCCTCCTCTACCCCTGCTACTCCTATCCACTCCCCACCCGAGCCGGGAATAAAGAATTGGTGTGCTCCTCCTAATGAATTCCAGCGTCTTCCTTTCTTATTGTCAGGGTGATGGGATGAAAGTGTGAACTGTAATAGTTGGTGAAAAACATCTTGCCTCTTACAATTCAGGTTTCTTGTCCCAATAGAAATTAATTCTGAGGGGTCAGAAGCTAAGGACTCCAGTTCCACACAAAATGAAATTTGAACCTGGATTCACATATCCAGCTCAAATACTGTAAGACCTTTCTGAGCCTCCGTTTCCTTATCTGTAAAATAGATACTACCTATCTCATTGGGGAGAGGTTATATGACCAGAGAGCCAGCCTTGAAGCTAGGGATACCTGGGTTCAAGTCTTGACACATACTGAATGTAACACCCCAGGCAAGTCACTTCTCCTTTCAGTGCTTTTGGAAACTCCAAGACTCTAAATTCCAGAAAAGGTGCTGACCTGCAGTGGTAGAGGATGCTTCTTCATCCACCTGGAAGTCTTTTCTACCAGTGAAATCACAGATCAGGCCCCTCTCATTGTCTAGTTGCAAGGAAGGTGCTTTGTAAACCTTGGGCAAGTCACAGTCTCCTTGGGACTTCCTTGTCTTCAACTATAAAATGAGAGGTTGGATTATAGGGCCTCTGTCCCTTCCCTCCCCATATTTGTGATTGTATGGCTACAAACATACTCTTGCATTTGGTGTGAGAGCCCATTCCCTTTCACTTTCCCAGTCATTAGCTCTCTGATCTGGTAGAGTGAGAAAGAAAATTAATTCACCAACTAAACTCTTCTAACAGGGCATGCAGTCACTTTCTTATCTCAGAAGTTCTGTTCTCATTTAAGAAACACAGGTATCTTTAATGACATGGGCAATACAGGCTTCAGCCTCTGGTCCTGAATTTTTTTCCTTTTTATGTAATTGGCATCATAAATTACCTCCCTGCTAAAGAGAACAAAACTCGAGAGAAAAGAACCTTTCATGTGATCATCTGCCTCTGCAGCCTAGGCTGGAGCAGCCAGGGGTCTGGCAGAGAGAAGGCTAACTAGGATAAGGTTGGGGAGTCTGTGAGAAGGAAGGAAATGGAGCAGTGGCCACCTTTTCACCCCTCAGGATCTCCCTAATGGGTCCCTGTCCAAGAAGTTTGTAACAATCCTGTCTAAGACCCAGCTGTGGGTGTGCCCTGTGCCACTTGGGCAAGTAGCATCCAGGCCAAGCAGGGGTTTCCAGTAGCTACTCCCATTTCTGCTTATTGGACTGGACACACCCACACCTCTCCCCAAAGGAATAAAGCACAGTGGAGCTTTGTACCATCTGAATGAACTTCAAAGTGGCTAAAAGGGGCGCCCAGGGTTCCTGGCACTTGTCATTGTCTCCCCATACCAGCCAGCATTTCCCTTCAGGTCTAATTACTTCCACATGCTCCCAAGTGCTTTGAAGCACAAAACCTTAGTGAGAGAAGGAAAGGAATAAGAGAAAGGTGGAGAGATGGGGGTGTATTGGGTCAAGGGGTGGAGAAAGTACTGTACAAGAGGGAGTAAAAAGCTCCCATTGGAGTCAGATTCTTTTTGAATGGTATTCAAAGTCAGGCCCTATGTCTCCTGCCACCTCTGGACAGTCAATACCAATCCTAGCGCATCATCAGCAACAGCTCCTACACTGGAAAAACAATGGTATAGATTAAAAGGAGTTTAAAAAGCCACTTAGAAAACAAAAGCTCATTGCCTGCCAAAGGCTCAGACCAGCAAAACTGGAGTCAAAGGTTGGTTCTGTTTGTTTAAAATCATGACTGGTTCCAGCTGGGTGGGAGTGCGGCTCTGCTCCCTCACACCTGATTCCAGGCAGTTGGCTGACCAAGCAATACTGTCGTCTCTAGAAGCTGCTCTGGGCTCGTTTTTAGCCTCCTGGCTTCTGTGGAGTATGGTTAACTCTGCTGCTGTATACAGCTGTCTTCAGCAACGTTTGGGGCTTGTAAAGCTAAAGTTGGGAATGGTGGGAAGGCTCCTAAAATGTGTCCTCATCCATTAGGACTCCTATCATTCTTTCCCACTAAAGGAATTGGGAAAATGATAGCCAAACAGCCAGATTGGAAAGGGCCCCACGCTGGATTCAGGAGACCTGAGTTCAGCTCCAATACAGTCTCTGGGCCTCATTTTCTTCATCTGTAAAATAGTACTAATATTTGCACTGCCCACCTCACAAGGCTGCTTTGTGTGGAAAGTGCTTTGTAACTATTAAAATGCTAAACAAGTGTGAACTTGAGAGGCAACTATCCCCTTTTGCTGCTTCCTTTAGACTAAGGCCCAGAGCAAAGAAAGGACCTTCTTGGACTTGGTTCCATGTAGTGGATGCTGGAAGTCAGCAGGCATGTCAAGAAAGTGGAGCATCCCCTTGGCCAGTCTTACGATTTATGCTGCTGGCCTTTCTTTATGGCACAGAGGAAAGAGTGGGTACAAAAACCAGCCAGACTGCAGATCAGCAGAAACCTGGTAAGGTGCCGTGAGGGTTAGGGCTCTGTCAAGCCTCTTAGTGACCTCTTGGGTCACTGCACTAAACCGTGGTCTTATTTCATTCTGGTAGTAGCAGAATAAAGTAACTCTTACAAGAAGAAAAGGCAAAGAAAGGTGGAGTAAGGCATCCATTGTTAGTAGGCACTAGGTGGCACTGGAGTGTGAGCACTGCCTGGAACCCAGGGCTTGTCAGGGAACCTTTTAGTCAGTCAGAACCTCCTCCTAAGAGTTTAGGTACCATTGTGGAGGTGCCAGGATGCCTATGCAGTGCTGCTTGTGTGTATGCCCTTGGTCTGCTATTTCTCACCTCACGTCAAGGAGAGGGGAGCACCCACATTATAAATCTCTTCATTCTTCCCATACCTGTATGGCCCAGCGCATGTCCGAGGAAACTAATGGGGTAAGTGGACCTGGGTGTCTGTCCTCTCTGTAGTATCCACCCCCAAAACACACTCAGGGCCACTGCTCCTGCAGGCAGTTCCCAAGGGCCTGGGGCCAGCCCACACAAACACTACTTTATCCTGCCTGACTGCTGCAGCTTCTGGAGCAGCGGCTGCAGTGAGAGTAACGTTTTCCAGGCAAGCCAGGCTCTGGGCTGCGGCTCATGCCCACATGTGTAAGGTTTCCTATTTCACAGCTTCTCTCAGCTGCCGGCAGGGAGCTGGCTTGTGAGGGCTGGGGCATTCACACACATGCTGTTTGTTATTCTGTCCTTTTTAAGAGTTTTGCTTTCGTCCTAAAAAGATGGAGAAAAAAGTGGGGGGGGATGGGGAGCTGAATAAGGCTTTGAAGCAACTTGACTTTGGGTGATTAATGGCAGTGAGAAGGCTGAGCCAGGGAGGGAGACAGTTTTGATTTATTGATGTTGCTTTGTGAGAACAAATTTATAGCTCAGGGAAGCAGCTTCTGAGGAGAATATCAAATGGTTAAAAGGTTACAAACTAGCTTTGATGTCAGACGGCAGCAAGAATGTTGGGAGGAGGCAAGCACCAGGCTCTCTGTTTGTGTATAAACTAAAGATGAGGTACCTGGCGCTGAGCTCAGTGCTCTGTGGAGGGCTTGGGGAGCTCCTCTTGGGGCCACAGCTGGGAGGCTGCCAGGAGATAAGTCAGGGGGTTGGTAACTCCTCAGCCCCATGTGCATACAGCCTTGGTTTTCCAGAGAGCTAAGAATGGATGGCAGCCCCAGCATCTTGATTTTTAACTGAGTAGCCCCTAGGGCAGGAAATCCAAGTGTGCTGGAAACTAGAGCACCTCACTTCATTCCAGCGTGACCTGGCTTGCCCCCTCTTAGTTCTTACCTTGATCCCAGTATTTCATCCACTATCCCTTTCCTCCTTCCTCACCTCCCACCTTGTACTACTTCCAGGAAGACACCACACAGGCTTCCTTATTCTGCAAACTGAGGCAGAGGGGAAAGAAAGGGACCCTCATCCTGATGCTAAGTGACTGTGGTAGAAATTCTCTGGGAGACAGCAGCTACAGACTTTCTGTTTAGTTTGGTTCAGTCATGTCAGGAAGTAAATATAATCTGGCCTCTTAGGACTTATCACTGAAATAAGACACCACCCAAAATGTTGGTATGAGGTTGATGCCCTGTCCTGGAACAGTTAAGAGGCAGGCAGACGGATTGAAAAGGTTCAGGTAGCTCAGCTTGATCTAATGCCTTCATCTTCTCCATCGCTGCTGCTTCTAAAAATCAAGAAGCTAGATGGAGAGAAGAGTTAGCTCAGTATCTTCAAGTCATCAGCATACAGATTACTAAACCAACTATCAACAATGACTCTGTTCTTCCTAGCAAGGGTTAGATAAGACCCATGTTCAAATTCTGACCCCATTGTGTCAGCCAGGGTCACTGTGCTCACCTACAAAAAAAAAAAGGTTAGACAAGATAATCTCTCAATGCTATGATTTTCAGTGTTACCACCCACCCACCCCCACTGAGAAATGAGGCCAAAGCTTCCATACCAGCTGGGGCAACACCTTCTCAAGCTGTTCAATGTCAACTTTATCCTGGTCTTCAGCCTGGGCCTGTCTTATCGCTCGGGCTGCAGCTTCTGTTCCATGAACATAGGAGAAAAGTAAAAGTTTAATTTGGGCAGGATCAAATACAGGATCCTGGCTGGCTTCAGATGTGGTTTATAAAAATCCCAACATGAGAAATGACTGAGCTCCCTGCTCATTTTGCCCAGGATTACTTTGTTGCTCTGAGCTGTGAACTCAAGGCTAATCCACTCTCCAGTATTCCTCCTTAAAAGTTGTCCTGAACTCCCAGGTGCTTACTCGGAGTACAGTATGAGCTCCTTGAGGGCTGGGAAGAGACTGGTTTTTTTTTCATTTTGTCTTTGTATTTCCAGCAACTAGGCGTGTGCTGCATTTATTAGATACTCTCTCAATAAATGCTTGTTTGATTGACTTAAAACTGTCATTAACCCAGCTTTTCAGCCTCCGGATTTTAAAAGTCAATTAAAATGCAAGGAAGGCACATTCCAGGGGAGAGAAGAGATTGGATGCCTCCAAGGAACTGGGAGAAATACAATGTGGCTCTAACACAAATAAATCAGAGATTTTAGGATTAAGCCTTGGTCCCCATGTGAAGCTATCGAGGGGAATTTTAGAAAGGGACAGCCATAACTATCAAATCACCTCGGACAAAGATCTTCAACATCTCCACCATGAGCTGCAGAGCATCTGCACTGACTGAAAAGGAGACAGAACAGAATTACTTGCATGTTCCCATCCCCATATACCTGCAGTCCAACCTGCTCTGGACTGACTCAGTGTCTGTCTGCCTTCGTCTCTTCCGTGGACTAGCTAGCAGCAGCTTTAAACCTTGTCTGGCCTCATGCTGGGATAATCAGTGCAGTGAGCCCTGCCATCTCTTCTTCATCAAACATGTAATCGTTTTCATCTCTCTCTATCTTGTTGGAGTGGCGCATGTGTCCATGTGTCTTTGTGCCTGCTCAACACCACTTGAAGGGGGGATCAGGTGCCATGCTTGTTTTTTAAACTTCTCAATCTGCAAGGCGGCAGTTAGTTGGATACTCAGTGTCACTAACTGACTTCACAAGATCCTGATGCTAAAGCTTGAGTTCTGAGTGGAAAATCACCTTTGACTTTTATGAACTGATGCAGACAAAATTCTGTAAACAAAACCAAAAGAAAAGCCTCCATAATGACCAACATGCCACAAAAGAAAACATCACCAAAAGACACCTGATGTTGAAGTTCTGATCAGTGCAGTGGTCCATCCTAACTTCAGAGTTCAGACAGTGAAACATGCCTTTCTCCTCTCAGCAGGTCTTTAGGTGTAAAAGTGAAGTCTGTGGTGTCAGACATGGTGTATATGTTAGCTTGTGTTAGCCTAGTTTTGCTACTGAGTTACAAGGGAAAGTTTTGGGGGGGGGCGGTGTCTAGTGATTTAAAGAAAAAACAAAGCTTTGATTTTTAAAAAAAAATTGTTTAAGAAAGGGCAGAAATTACCTTTGCATCTGTCATTCTTAAAGTGTAAGAACAGCAACTTGTTTACCAGCTCCTATGGGAAGAAGGGAGTAAGTGCTTGTAACATTTGGTGACTACCAGCAGCCACAAAAGTCAAATCTGATTCTGCTGATCTCCTGCTTCCCCCACCACTGATAGGGAGGGACCCATCTACAATCCCAAATACTACACGAGAAGCTTAAATAGACAATTACACACTTAAATAAACAAAAAATATATTCTACCCTGCAAGCCTCTAAGTCCTTTGCTAAGCTTAGCAGTGGTGGTGGTGGTGGTGGTGGTGGTGGACTCCCGACTTGAGTTCCAAGTATCACCCTACTATCAGCTACGTGTGCCACAGGAATAATGCCAGTGGGATGAGGAGCTTAAGATGGGAAGAGGTACTAGGATTTGGTGCCCTTTAGAAGTGGTGGGCTGAAGATCATAGTGTTTGCTAAGACCAAAGACCTCAGATACAGAGGGAAGAATTAATCTGGGGGAAAAAAATTAATTTGACAAAAAGTAGAATGTAATCTGGCCCAAATTAGGTTAGACTAACACCTCATCATATACTAAGATAAGGCCCAAATGCATCCATGACTTAGATATGAAGGATGACATAAACAAACAAGAGGATCAAGCAAGCAACTGTGACCCTTGAGATCTAGGGAAAAGGGATCAGAGAGATAGGGTCACAGAAGATAAAAATGGATATTTTTATTACATAAAATTAAGACAGTTTTTGCACAAACAAAACCAAAACTGTTAAGAAGAAAATAATTTTTGAAGCAAGTTTCTCTATTACACAAAACATGGTGTATCCCAAAAGTCTTAATGCAATTTTAAGCTACTAAAGCTTACAATTTGGGGACATCCTATATACAAGGACCAGATTCAAATCTATAAGAACAAGGGACATTCCCCATTAGATAAATGATTAAAGGATGTGAACAGGCAATTTTCAAAGAAATCTAAGCTATCAAAAAGCACATGAAAAAATGCTGCAAATCTCTAATAGTGAAACAAATTAAAACAGCTTTGTCCTCATATCCACCAGACTGGCAAAGGTAATAAAAAAAAAATAACAAAGGATTATAAAAATGTAGGCATACTATAAACTGCTGATGGACCTCTGAGTTGGTCCAGCCATCCTGGAAAGCAATTTGGAACTATACCCAAAAAGTCACTAAATCTTTGACCCAGCAATATCACAATAGGAAACTGCTGAATCTCTTGCTGAAGAGGGTATATGGGAAACCCCAAATGGAGAGTAAAATGAAATGCTAAGAAGAGAATAAAATATTTCTAAATTAACTGAAAGAGCTGACACACATTTTTGAGACAAAGTAGTCTGATGAATATATTGCTATGATCATATTTCTCTCACCAGATGGCTCACCTACCTAAATAAGCTTTATCTCAAACTACTCACTCTTACCTACTCTACATTCTAGCCAAACAAGCCTTGTTCTAGTCACGTCTTCTCTCCTATTACTTATGTATATCCCTCCTCCCCATTAGACTGTATGGTCCTTGAGAATGGGGTCTGCCATGCATTCCCCTTGTAGTACACCTTATACATTCAAATAAATGTCTGAATTGAAGAATAGTTGTAAATTTTAGCATCGAAGGTCAGAAGCATCCTTGTGGAATTCTATCAAATAAATTCCATCAAATAAAAAGCTATCAAATGGGGCAGAGGTAGCTAAGATAAATTTTATCCCCTCAATGGTAACAGTGCAGTAGTTACTAAAAGCAGAAACCAGTAGGATGCATGGCCAAGAAAGACCATGGGAACTTTAAAAAAATAAATAAAAACTTTTAAAAATGTGTTCTTAGCACCACCTGCTGGTTATTTCTGGAAATGAGATGTTCCCCATGTGCTTGATTATCATAGTGCTTCATTCATACAGTGATTTTTTAAGGTTTGTAAAACATTTCACAAATATTATCTCATTTGATTCTCACAACAGTCCTGAGAAGTAGGTGCTGTTATCTCCATTTTATAGTTGAGGAAGCTGAGACAGAGGTTAAGAGACAGGGTCACACAGTAGGAGGTGTCTGAACTCAGGTCATCCTTAATCAAGCTCAAAGCTCTATCCATGTGGCACCCTAGCTGCCTCATGTATTATCAGTCACGATCATTCTAGTTGTTGATTTTGCTCAACTATTTAAGGGGAAATGTACTTTAGGAGGAAAAAGATGTCACTTTTTAATTTTGGAACACCTTGGCCACAAAAGTTAAAGGAAGGACTGAGTGAACAGCAGAGTCCATGCCAGGATTTTTAGCCTACCCTGTGTCAGGCACTGTCCTAAAACTTGGGGATACAAAGGAAGGAAAACGACAGCTTCTTGCTCTCAAGGAGTTTACACTCTAAAGAAGACAACATGCAAAATAATTATGTGCAAACAAGAGATACGTAGGATAAATTGGAAATAACTGAGGGAAGGCACTAGCATTAAGGGGGCACGGGAAAGGTTTCTTTTAGACAATGGGATTTCAGCTGGGACTTTCAGGAAGCCAGGAGGTAGAGATGAGGAGTGACAAGCCTATGGACCCCTTCTCAACATGTTTTTAAGTGTGTGAAATAAAATACCAACAAAACTAATTATATTCAAGTAGTTACTGAAATATTTTTTAAAACAAGTTCACAAACCTACAGATTAAGAAATGCTCATTCAGGCTGAACAAGTTGTGGTATATGAATGTAATGGAATACTATCGTGCTATAAGAAATGATGAACAGGCTGACTTCAGAAAAACCTGAAAAGACTTGTATGGTTTGATGCTGAGTGAAGTGAGCAGAACCAGGAGAATGTTGTACACAATAACAGCCACGTTGTGTGATGACCAATATTGATAAACTTAACCCTTCTCAGCAATATAAGGATCTAAGACATCTCCAAAGGCCCCGTGATGGAAAATGCTATCCACATCCAAAGAAAGAACTATGGGGTTTGAATCCAGATTGAAGCATACTATTTGCTATTTTTTTCTTCTGTTGAGTTTTGTTTCCTCTTTCTGGTGGTTCCTCCTATTGGTTCTAATTCTTACTTACGTCACTAATGGGAAAATATGTTTAATAGGAATGTATATGTATGGCCTATATCAGATTATGTGCTGTTTTGGGGAGGGTGGTGGGAAGAACAGGGGAGAAAAATTTTAAACTCAAAAGCATATGGAAGTGATTGTTGATAAATCAAAATAAATTTTAAAAAAAGAAAAGAAATGCTCATTTAAGGGCTAAAAGGAGGCTTTAATAAGAAGAAACTAACAATATGCAGAATTTGTTTTGTTCTTAAGAGGGTTTTGTTTTGTTTTTCATAATGAGGGAAGGGAAAGAAAACAAACCCTTGTTAATGAAAAAAGAAAAGAAAAAACAAGAGAAATGTAACAAGAAGAAAAAGAAGTTATCAGAAGAGAAGGCCCCAGGAGAGGCATCAAGCCAAGGGAGTAGTAGCAGCAAATGAAAGAAGAGAGGAATCTGGTTTTTGTCTTACTGGTTCATAAAATTGTTGATAAACAGGCTTCTGGGTGTCTACTCATGTTCTAGCCTCCAACTCTCACGCCTCTTTCTTCTACTCCTTCCCAACATTACCCAAGCAATGCCTCTGGCCTTTTGGACCACCAGAGAGCATAACTCAAGAGAGCTTGCCTATAAACCAGTAATAAAATAAAACAGATTTTTAAAATCAAGTCTCTTCTCCCTATGTTCATCCAAAAGGCCTGCATGTAAACTTAGCAATACCAGGTCCTTTCATGAAAGCCCTATCCAAACTTCATCTGTGTATAGAAGTGATCTTGATTTTCCCAAGATTATGCTAGTGGGGTGTATAAGCCCAACATATATTTGTCATAAAAGAACCATAAGGACTAACAGCTCCTTCCTACTTTCCCTTTCACCCTAGACCCTTTCATTCTCCTGGTTTTTCTAAGGGCTTTAGTGGCAGGTGACTGGGGGATAGCCTTTAAGAAGGTGAAGGTTTTTCTGCACTTTAAATAAAAGATTTATTTTAATAATTACATTAGATTATATAATAACATATATTTTATTATAGACTTATATAAAGAGAGAGTAATATTAAGAGGGGGTAATGGCATCAGAAGCTTCATATCAGTTGTCGCTCTCCTACAAGTCTACTGTGTTGATTCTACAGGAGAAAGAAAAGTAGCATTTTATATGCTCTTTAGAAGCTTTGTCCTCTTCATCTTTTTCTATTAGTAAAATTGGTTTTTAAATGGATTTTAAGATTCAGGTATGCTTGCTGCATTTTAAACCTTGAGCTTGAATCACTGGACTGGCCTAGCTTAGGGCTGATCTAGAATGAATATAAATTCCAAGTACAGGACTTTATATTTAATCCTGAAATAAAAGAATAGAGTTTACTGATTAATGAAGTGGCATGGTCAGTCACTCAACAAGCATTAATTAAGCACTTATTATATTCTATGCACTGTGCCAATGAATGGGGATACAAAGAAAAGCAGGAGTTAGCCTACCACTGAGAAATGCAAAATCTAAGCAAACAAATATATTAAAACCACCTATATTCAATATAAAAAGGAAATCATTAAAAGAGGGAAGGGAAGGGCTTCCTGCAGAAAATGGGAAGCCAGAAAAGCCAAGAGGAGAGGAGGAAGGAAAGCATTTCAGGCATGGAGAACAGCCAGAGAAAATTCCTGGATCTGAGAGATGGAGGGTAGGATGGAGTAAGGTGTGTAAGAAGACTGGTAAGGTAGGAGGGGGCTGGGTTATGAAGAGCTTTGAACATCCCATATTTTAGAAAATAATCTTGCCAGCCACCTGGAGGATAGAACAGAGTGGGAAGAAACTTGAAGCAAGGAGACCAATCGAGAGGGTAGTGCAATAGTCCGAGTGATAGGCAATGAGGTCCTTGATCTAAAGTGGTTGCTGTATGAGTAAAGAGAAGGTGACACATGCAGGAACTACAGTGGAGGTAGAAATGGCAAGTCTGGCAACTAACTGGACATCTGGAGTGAGAAAAGAGTCTAGGATGACACCAAGGTTGCAAACCTGGGTACCTGAAAGGATC